TCAGTTTCAGCAGCGGCTGAATCTGGACGCCAGTTCCGACTTACATACAGATTCAACTTAAGAACAAACCTACAGTCCCTATCTTGTACGTAACCCGGGGACTGCCTGTATTGCAAAATAGCAGCTACTTTTTCAGTCTGTTCAAACAACAGAGCTCAGTTTTTAAAAAACATACTTTTGATGTACTCTACCTCTTTAGTGAATAACTAAACGTATGCACAATTGTTATAAAATGTTTACTAAGTTCACATTATAACTTCTTTGCATATTTTACCTCAATTACAGTACATTTTTAAAATCTCTGAATTTATATTTCTGATTACTGGTATATTTTTCTGACTATTTCTTTGGGTGCAGGATATGCTCAAGATTATCAGAAATGGTCCCTCATTTGGCTTCTGACTCCATATTTAGGCATCTAAATCCATCCTCCGATTTAAAAATATGCTTTGATTTCATTAAGTGTTAAACACGTCTGAAAATCAGAACATGGGATTTAGGTGCCTAAAAATATGGACTGATGAACCTTCCATTGGACACAATTTGTAAATCTTGGTTTTAATTCAACTAAGAGATTGTTCTAAAACTTTATAAATATAATCATAAGGTCATTTTTATACTTTACTTTGCAGTAATACCTATTTGTGAAGACAAGTGGATCATTTGAGTTTTTTTTTTTAACATAAATTGCTTTAATGTAAACTAATAACCGTGTTACCTATTCAATTGCATCTTCTGTATATATGTATGGCCAATAACCAGAGCAAGGACCTGTTACTGTCACTTCTCTTAGTTATTCTTTATTGGTGTTAGTGTGTGTGCTATCAAATGTCATGCAACTTCTCATAAGTAAGGCTCCTATCCTGCAAAGTCAAGAAAGCACCCACTTCCATAGGACTTGCTCTCATTGTATAAAGTTAAGCATGTGCATAAATCTTGGCAAAATTGGAGACCATATAAAGTTTAGAAATTCTATAATAGTGACTAAGAATTTACAGAAAGTACCATATATTTTTAACCTACAACTTACTCAGCTCAAAATTGCTGTTCACTGAATAAAACGGATGATGTGTTTACCTGACCATGACAAATCAGTTAATGAGCATTCATCCTTAGGCTGGGTCTTTGGTATGTCTTGGTACTATACACCTATAATGTAGCATAACTCAACATCTGGAAACATCTAGTCAATGTGATCTTATAGTTTGTAATACAAAACATTCCACTGACTTTGTGGAATGAGTTTATTTTAAGATTATGATTTTTACATGTGCTTTCTTTCAGAAGTAAATCTTATAAGATTTTTTTTAGGGGAAACAGAAGTTACAAAGGACTGATAAGGGCTATGTCTAAACTTCTCCACTTTTCAGACTATAGGGTGTGGATAGCAGTGTGCACCAAAAAGCTGCACTGTAACTCCCTCATGTGGTTACTGTGGAAGTGAACGAAAGGATTCCTACAACCGATTAACAGCATCTTGTTTGCAGAGGACAATATTAATGCAAACTAGGAATCTGTTAGTTCATAATTGCAGCATCCACATGGAGGAGCTACAATGTGGCACTTTGGTGTACAGTGCTATTCATGCCCCCATAGTCTGAAGAGAAGAGCAGTGTAGA